TCATTGGTAGTTTTCCAATTACAGCACTACATAAACTAGTTATGCGGCATAATGCCTATCGTTGAATGTTTCAACTACAGCAACGCTTCGCACAATCGAGTACTCTCAAAAGTAATGTTTTCGTGTGATGCGTGCAATCGTACCAACTCAATGACAGAAAATTAACAAGTGTTTTTTCTTTAAGTTGGCATTGATCGAAATCTTTTATTTATTAAATATCGTTAGTACTTATTATTATTTAATGCTGAAATTTTTTGAAAGTTTTCGTTTCACTGTAGTTTTTTTTAAAATAATCATAGTTAATTTAAACTGTGTTAAAAATAAATATAAGTATGGATGAAGCTCACTCTGCTGGTGCATTTGAAAACTAATTCACGTTCCAATTAAGCATCAGCATAATTCGGCACTGTGCGCCACTGAGTCGCATTATGCTCTGTAATTGGAAAACTACCCTTGTCATGCTTACTATGGAATAAAAAGGACAGACTGATGTCAAGTTTTCAAAAAGCAAACACGAATAGCCAAGTGAAGTGCCGGCATTAGGAAGAAAGAGTGTTTTACATAAAATGGTAGTCTCAGATTATTTTTTAACTTTTTAATATAGCTTACTTAACTGGAAGTGTCCGTCACAATCTAAATACTGATAACTATCGCAACAAATAAACTAAGAATTATCATAAATGCCAAATTGGTGTTGGTTCTTAGGCCAAATTTAACATTGTCCTTTGATTGGCATTGTTTTAAAAATGGTCACTCTTCAACTGCCTAATTAAGTGCAAAGCACAGCTCCTAGATAAACTTTAAACTTCGCATCTATAGTTTGCCTTGGTGAACTAAACGCCAAAATAACTAGAATAGGTATTTATTCCTTAGCGTCAGCTTGTAAATTCATAAGCTGACGCTACTATTCTATCAGTGATACCACGTGATACTGCGAAATCTGTGTCAATGACAATACCTCGGAACAATCGAAATAACATAATTATGAAGGTTTCCCTTTATTTTGATGCACGGTATACGCTAGTGGAGAAATATAACACAGAATACTGAGTAAGTTAAGTTCAGTATATTGCGCTAATAGTTCGTACATTATATAGTAGGTTTGAGCAATTAATAAGAAATGAAGATTTTTAACCTAACAATTGAGAAGTTGCAGTATTTTTATAGCGTGTTTTCATTTACAGTATTTACATGAAGCATAACGAATGCTCTATAATAGCGATCGCCCGAGACTTCGTCCGCGTTAAATTTAGTTTTTTGAAAATCCTTCAGGAACCTAACACCTTTCCGGGATAAAAAGTAGCCTTGGTCTTAATTCGGGTCATAAACTAAAATTATACAAACTTTCACATTTATAATATTAGTAGGATAAGGAGGAGCTTTGCCGGCGAATGAAGAGCGAACCATTACAGTTTAAAACTGAAAATTATATCATACACCTTTAACATACACAGGGTTTGTTGAATTTCGCGAGCCACCACGCAAGAACGGCTTTTAAAACTGAGTTTGTTTAAACCCAATACAATTTTGTGTAAGACAATGTAACTAGGTACCATTCCCCTGGGAAAATAAATGGAACACTGCAGTAATGACTACCCCTTTGAATAATGTAAACAGTTCAGAACATATGGAGCGAAACTATGTGAATATTTTATTATACCGGAGTTGAAGACCGGCTAATGAAACGGTAGCGATTCTACCTTATACTCTAAAGCAGAGGTGTCCAACCGGTAGCTCGCGGGCACCTGGTAGCCCGCGGCCTGCATTCTAGGCGCCCGCGAACAATTATGGTGAAATAAATGAAATAAACAATAAGTAAATTACGCTGCATGGTATTAAGTCGTTAGTAGGTCGTTATAACGTAGTTTCCTTTAATTCACTTATGTTTTTTTATTAAAGGTGCCCGCGTAGCGTATCAGGATTTTCAAAATAGCCCTTGGAGCAATACCACTTGGGCACCACTGCTGTAAAGATATGAAAGACGGTACGGGCAGGGTCAAGTGGGGGATAGTGTAATAAGGGACACAGTGTAAAATAAGGAATATTATCTGCCCTTTATTAGTTTCATATAATAAATAAATATGAACAAATAAATATTTAAAACACTGACACCAATTAGCCTAGTCTCTAATTAGGCACTGTAGGCTTGTATTAGGGGATGGGTTATGGGTTAATACATATATAAGCATCATCATCATCATCATTTCAGCCGAAAGACGTCCACTGTTGGACATAGGCCTCCCCCATGGATTTCCACAACGATCGGTCCCATGCTGCCCGCATCCAGCGGCTTCCCGCGACCTTTACCAGATCGTCGGTCCACCTTGTGGGGGGCCTGCCAACACTTATAATTTATAAGCATATTTATACCGAAATACATATTAAACATCCATGACTGGAGTACAAATGCTCGTATTCATCACAAAAATATCTGCCCCCACCGGGATTAGAACTCGGGACCTTTCGATTAGGCGATTCCTTGAAAACCGGCATATAAACCACTCGGCCACACGGGCCGTCATATGCTGCCATCTTACGCAGCTGTCATCAAATACTGAGATATCCCTTTTGTTACACGTTGCCCCTTGATACACTGTTCCCCACTTTACCCCATTTATTTGTCTGTAGAGCACAAATGTTCGTTCGAGTCATGGTTATTTGCACATTCAGTTACACTTATATATGTAAGTATCGTAAATTCAAAATTAAATGTATTTATTCAGTTTAAGCTTTTTACAAGCATAAGGACGTCGAAAAGCTACGGCAATCGGTTTTCAAATCTACGATGGGAGAACTTGTAGATACTGAGCAGAACTGGCAAGATATACATGTGTTATTTTGAGCTTTGCCTCATTTGGGACTAAATAATTATTGTCTTGTATGCGTGTATTATTATTATAATGTAGGTACTGTATATACATATACTCTTACGATTCGCAAGTTAATTTACGTAGACACAATGCACATTTATTCTTAGTTTCTTTAAGTCGATTCGAGTTATTTCAGTACGTCCGTTGACCTCTCAGTTCATAAACCACCGTGAGTAGTAGTGAAAGTGCTATGTCGGAGTTTGAAATAGATATTAAAAGCTCGAGATAGCATCCGAGACGAATGTGGGTCACCGCCGCCGACCCGCTGTATGAAGCCCGCCGGCGAACTTAATTGGTGACTACCTATTGTTAAGATTTTATCTATTTACTTTGTTCAATCGATATATGTGTTTTTTGGGTTTCGTACCAAAAGGGCAAAAACGGAACCTTATTACTAAGAATCTTCTTTCCATCTGTCTGTCTGTCTTTCTTTCTTTCTATCACCAGGCTGTATCTCATGAACCGTGATAGCTAGAAAGTTGGAATTTTTATAAATAATGTAATGCCGTTGCCACTATAACAGCAAATTCTAAAGAAAGTTTCAATATGGCATTTATACAAATAGTTTAGTTTTATGTAAGTATCTAAAAAAACAGGGTTATAAAATGAAGGTGTACTTATCTATACCCATAACAGAAATTAAACATGAAATACCTGATTGGGTAAAAAAAGAATTTGCAGGCGGAAAATTGTATAATTTAAATACATTTTTATGACTTGAATGATTTGTTTCAACTTATTTTTACGGTATTTTCACCACGATATCAACTTCAAAATAGATATTCAAAATAGGTTTAGGGATACTTAATTACCTAATTAATTTAAAACTAATTACTTAATTGCAGGCGAAAAATCTTTTAAATGTTTTTGTCGGTTGCTAATGAAATCAATAGAATGTTCAAATAAAGGTGCAGGTACCTATCGGCAACCATTTTGTCTTATAGAGAAGGACTGGTACTGGGGATGTTGTCCTCTATTTAGTTTTTGTGAAAGTTACTTATTATTTTTGACAGTTTTATGAGAATATATAAAAATAAGATGCATTTTTAAAATTTCGTTGTATCTGCAGAATTAAATTAAAATAGAATCAATAATTTTGAATGCGAATAATATGTTATACTGTTAGAATAGATGATTTACTCCTTCCTTAAAGGCCGGCATCGCATTTGTGATACTCCTGGTGTTGCAAGTGTCCATGGGCGACGGTGATCACTTACCATCAGGTGAGCCGTCTGCTCGTATGCCCCCTATAACATAAAAAAAAAACATTTTTATAAGGTTTTTTGTTTACATGAGGTGATATAATATGCCATGTGACGTAAGTCAGATCCTATGTACTGGTTATCACCCTTAATAATAAACGAAGAATATGCTTGGATTAGCTTCTCTATGATTTATCTATGTTAATTGAATTAGAAATGGCACTTCAGCGACATGAACAGAACACGCCGTAACTAGACTATTTAAGCTAAATCCTTGTTTATTACTAAGGGAGATCTAATTCCCCTGCAAATTACAAAGCTCCGTGATTAACAATAACTGAACAACTAGTTCACTAACTAAGTAAGCTTGGTCGTCTCATAAGTGCAAGCGACTTATTAATTGTTCTGTTTTGTTTCTATAACTATGGTCTCCTTAATGGTGGATGTTTTCATTGGCCAATGTGGTACGCGATACCTCTAGTGTAGTTAGCGTATTTAAAGAACACGTTTAATTTCATAATTGTATATATAAAAATTTCAAATAAAAAAACATTGCTATTAATTATCTTTTAATAGCAATATACCTTGTAAGTGTCTTGTAAATGAGAGTTCATTTAAATGGATTTAATTAATACCTTTATTATAGAACACTATTTGCTTGCACGCGATTACAACAGACTGAGACAGATTAGTTACAATACGGTCAATAGGGTACCTATTTTTTAAATTGTGTTATGACCTACATAACAACATTCTCGATAGCATAGTGAATGGTCAGTGCATTCGTCCGGACATTGATCCGGACAATGAAGAACGCTGGTTCAATTCCAGTCGGATACTTGGGCCGAATTAACTGTTTTTCTAGTATAATGTTTTATAGTTTTAGTGAGAATATTTTATCTAATATAATTTTTCACATTTCTAACAGGTACCCATAACTCAGTAACCATGGGCGTGTCAACCATCAAACTTCTTCAAATAACACCTTTAGAGAGTTAATGGTGAGTAAAATTTGAATTCTGTTTTTAAAGCTAACTAATGAGGTGCCTTTTAAAACAACTCGTAATGAAAGGTAAAAACTGTCAGAAATATCCACGAAAACATTATTTTTCCAATGTAATTAAAGAAAAGAGTGGGAGATAAATTTATGCAGAAAATAAACGCAGTAATGAAGTATTTTTAGCTCGTTACCAGAAAGTTGGTGATAAAACCGAATAACGAAGTGAGGCGCTGCGCTGCCGACATGAAATGCCTTTACATTTCAACATTCATTACGTTGGGATTTCGCACCAATTTTGAAGCCCGGCAGACACTTTATGTGTGAATGGTACGTTTCGAATGCTGTTAAAGAAAGAGGTGTGTGATAATTGAAAAGGAAGAAATTTATTTTACAGTTTTCTCAAAAACAAGTTCATTAGCACAGTGACTTACGTTTATTTAAACTTATATGTAAAACAATATTTCTGCCCATCACTTTGAGGGGTAAAAAGCCTGCTTCTAGGTCTTGGTAAATTGTGAATTTAGAAATAGAATAAATATTGAGGCTGATCTCAAATTTATGGTTTGCTTATAAAATAAATGAAAATAATATACTTAAATTCTTTCGTGGTATCAATACAATATTGGGTCGCCAACTTCTAGCAGGTGCGGGACCATGTAAGAAAATATTTATTGATTATTATTTTCATCAAATATAACTTACTTTTAATAAACATGATTGTAATTAAATAATGAAAGAAGAAGTATAATAAATAACTGCTTAAAGTTAGCGACCCTAGTTACGTATCCGCTGAGCGGTTGCATAAGCAATGAGCTCAGGGAGATTAGTTGGCTCAGTAACGTAGATTGAGTCTACTCAAGGACGTACTAAGTAAACTCACTCATTATATATTCATTGCAGGACATGATCTTGTGATAGACGGTTTCTTAATATTCCTTGTTATTAAAATATAAGTTGAAACTATGGTTATTTTAGCAGGCCGTATTGTCAATATTGTGATAGTTTTGAATTGTTATTATGTAACGTTTAAAAAAATGTCTATATAACTTGAGAACTGCTACTGGTTCGAGTTAAACAAATATCCAATATATTTAATTAAATCTTAGGATATATATTATATTTTATGTTAAAAAAAAATTAATAGGAAATATCAAGTTTCTTCAGGCACCGGGCAGGATTCCACCCCACACTCGTCTTTTATGAATTAAGATAAGATGATACTGTACCCCTAGCACGAACCATTATCGAATTCGAATAGTTTGCGAGTGCGAACGAAGAACTAAAAATCAGTAGTTAGTTCTCGTTACGAAATTTGTAGCGCTGCTGTTCAAGTTTGACATCAAAAAAATTTGACATTGACATTTCGGTTTGCAAACTATTCGAATTCGATAATGGTTCGTGCTATGGGAACTGGTGTCGATTCTAGCATGATTTTCTAAATTTTACATAATTCTCTCCTTTTAATTCTGAAAGAATTCATATTCATAGTTATTCATAGAGAATGACAAGGATACACTGTTTTAAATTTTAAGTTTAGGTTTTTATATATGTATGGTTTTAGACACCATTTTCACCTTCGCTAAAATATTGTGGAGTATAACACTTCAATGGACATCGTAGGGTTTTTCAAATACCTATCTATTTTGTGCTGTGAGGCAGCGCCTTTTTCTTACCCAGTTAGGTCTAACAAATTTAAGTATCAATTTTTTCATTAATTAAGCAATTCTTACCGTGGCGACCCACATAAATTGGATAACCTAGTGTTGGGTACGCAAAGTACAGTATTTTTTCTAAGACAAATAGGATTCTAACAAATAAGCATTTGCGAATAGGTGAAACTTTAGTGTCAAACATATTTTCAAGAATTCAAGTCACATTAAGGTCTACGAAATAATGATATTAAAACACGCTACGATAAAGCGATATCTTTAATATTATATTTAAAGAATGGAATATTTATTTAAGTAGGTGAAGCTATATAGTTTTTAAGTTTGTGTTCTTTTTATGTCTAATTATTAAAAAATATGACCATGGTTAAAAAAAAAAGAATGGAATACGACAACGAGACTCGCCGTTGCGTTGTCCAGCGTTGTCGTCATGCCATAACCAGCGCGCCGTCCGTATCTCTGTTGACATTTTATAAATAACTTACTTTCGAACGAAACGTGTGAGACGATATGATACAATGGATTGGTCAGTGCTTATGATGGATTGATAAGAACTTGTTCTCTTATTGTTGGTCTGTGTTGATAAGACCGATTATTTCTCCAATATAAACTGGAAGCGAAAGATATTTGATTTTAAAAGAATAACAGCTGAAGTCGTGTAAAGTGCAGAAGATGTGGACAGAAACAATATAATATAGATTTCATTTCTTTTTCAATATTAATTTGTAACAATAGTGCTACTGAGTAACGTCGAAATTTTTAAAAGTTGATTAAAGTCGATGATGTCACTATTCTTTTTTTCTTATTTTTTATTTAACGGCTACCCCCGTCTTGTAACAGGTCTTTCTTTTTCTGTTTTATATGTTTTTCTGTCTGTCTTTTCTTTTATCCCTCTTTGGGTGCTCATTTTTTTGCACCTCTAATCTTTTCGCGCCCTTTCTTTTACGATTTTTCTTTTACGATTTTTCTTTTCTTTCCAATATCTTATTTCTATTACGATATTTTGTTTCACATTTTAATTTCTTAGTTATATTTATGTGCATTATTTATGTTAGCATTTACTTTCTTTTTTATTACATTTTCTTCTTTTCTTTCGTCTATTTTTACACATACATTCATTATCCCTACTATTATTTCCTAATGATATATCTAATTTTTTTTATTGTCTATGTTTTATTTCATGTACCGTTATGTTTCACTTATTTCATGCTGTAAGGGCCAATAATTTGTTTCTTTCAATTTACATTTGCCTTTTCTTAGTATATTTTTATGTCACTATCTATGCGATAGCTAGAGTTGTGCACATCTAATATATAAAATTCTCGTGTCATAGTGTTTGTAACAAAACTCCTCCGAAACGGCTTGACTAGTTACGCCGAGTTTAGTTCATGTCACTTAAATGCCACTTGTTATTCGAGGAACAGAGACAAAACATGGAGTAACTTATCCAAGCTTGTTATTCGTTTAATAATAACGGGGTCGAAGTGTAACCCCGTATTAATAAACGAAGAATAAGCTTAGTGAAGTTACTCCATGTTTTGTTTCTTATTCCTTATGAACGAAACACGGCGTAACTAGTCTAAGCTTATTCCTCGTTTATTTATGAGGGTTTCAAGGTGGTGTTTAATTTAACGTGTTGTGTACAGAAATGCCAGCGAGGATGATGAGCGCTCGTGGCGGCCCTGGTGCGGCGGGCGAGGTTAGCGTGGCGGACAGTCCCCTGGCCACCTTCGAGTCGCTCACGCAGGCGGCCGTCATCGCCGTCATGGGCGTCGCCATTGTCGTCTCCAACCTTCTTATCATTGCCGCCTTCCTTAACTTCAAAGGTAAGACCTCCATCATTATCAGCAGCGTATTAATGTCCTCAAAGCCACGCGGCGGCGTGGGCGCGGAGGGCGAGGTGAGCGTGGCGAACAGTCTCCTGGCCACTTTCAAATCACTCACGCAGGCGGCCGTCATCGCCATCATGGGCGTCGCCATTGTCGTCTCAAACCTCCTTATCATTGCCACCTTCTTTAACTTCAAAGATAAATAAATTTATAACTATTTCTAACACTCAAACCAATTAGCCTAGCCCCAAAGTAAGCACTGTAAGGCTTGTATCATGGGATACTAGGGTAACGGATAGAATACATATACTGTACATATATAATAAATATATTTATATAGAAATACATATTTATTTTCTTAGGTTTTCACGCACATCACTCATTAAATAAAACTAGTTTTTACGGGTTAATGCACGAAATTTTATTTATTTATTGACGTTTCGTAGCCTACGAAACGTCAATAAATAAATAAAATTTCGTGCATTAACCCGTAAAAACTAGTTTTATTTAGAAATACATAATTAAACATCCATGACTGGAGTTCAAATGCTCGTATTCACCGGGGGCTGATTCGAACTATATATTATGATTCTAACTGATTCTAATGATTCCAGTGGTTAGGTCATGGCGAAGCGCGAAAGTTGCTTAAATTCCACGAACATAGACCGTGCGCGCTAATCACGAGTGCCTTGATCGTTTCACATCAATCTTATTCAAAGCGGTGTGATGAGCAATGATATTGTGCGAAATCTTCTAATTCAAAGGTTCTTATTAAAGCTTCAACGACAGACAAGTCTGCAACAAGAATCAGCAATAATTCTGCAAAATTAAGTAGCTAAAATGAGGAGCTCTATGGCGCAAGTGGTTAGCGCGTTCGGCTGCGCTCGTTGAAGTTAAGCAACTTTCGCAGTGGACGATTATTGGATGGGTGACCAAAAATTTACTATCTCGAGTTCCTCCGTGCTTCGAAAGGCACGTTAAACCGTTGGTCCCGGCTGCATCTTCAGTCGTTAGCATCCACCAATCAGCACTGGGCCCGCGTGGTGGGTCATGGCCCAAATCTCCCTTTTCCATCCTTAAGGAAGGACTGTGACCCAGCAGTGGGGACATTAATAGGCTGATGATGATGATGAAGTAGCTAAAATATAAATCTTTGATTATTAAACTTGTCACAAAGTAGCTGTCTTCTGATTTGATATGTCCGATAAGTTATGTTATTGAACGTTACCAACACCAGTGAGGATCACTTTTATCGCTTTAGATATCATAACATTATTAACAATCCTTATAAATAAATAAAATCCTTACAAAACGAGGACTTGAGTACGCGAAGTGTGTGATGTTGACTGTCCTCGTTAACACATGCGAAACAACTCAAAAGGGGCCTTTTTTAACTCCCTGCAGGTTATTCAGATTTTTATTCAATCGAGTTATTTCCATCCCGGGAGTTTAACGAACAGAACAAAACGGAAAAAAGCATCAACCGCAAATATGCCATTCCTGTCGCTGTAGTAGTTGTTCGGAACGGAAGTTAATTCAAAAAATATTTTGTAGCTGTCCGAATCGAACGAGTTTCGTTTGTTTAATGCCTCGCTGTTTTCCTATAAATTTTCCAGTGGGAACGAATAAAACAAAATAAAAATATGCGTATCCGTTACTCGCATAACGACTCGTTGTTTACAGATATAGAATATTTGAACAACCATTTTTAGTTTAAATTTTTTTAACGAAGCTCTAGGATTGGGTTTTGAGTGGCAACGTAAGAATGGCTTCGGTAGCACACTTTTCAGCCGCATCAGTTTCTTCACGACTGCACCCCACGTACATTACTCATAACATCGGGTAGTTATATATATTTATGTCTATCTCTACCTTTGGAAGCTCATCGTTAGGCTAAAATTTACTATTGTTTTTATTACAAAATTGTTCTCTACATCTCAACTGAACTATCTCATGGCTTAATGGTATTAGGGAATGCGGTCAAGGTTGATGTAAAGAGAAACCGGTGTTACAGAAACGCCGGTGTAGACCTCAACACATAAAAAACTGTCTATAATCAAAGTACCTTATAAAAATAAAAACATATAAATGAAAAACTTATATTTACTTAGCATACTGTCGATATTTCGTTTCTCTACGGTTTCAAATTTAAAGACATCTTCTTTCGTCTTCTTTACTAGGATCTTGACCTCTCAAAGTTACGCTTAAAAACAGAATGCAATTATTATTAAAGGTCTCTTTTGTGTTGTGTCATTTCTTTCCGTGTGCGTCTTTCCGAGATCTGGGCTAACCTACAAGATACATAGTCAGTACATATATAAAAGTCTTAGTTAAGTGTTTCGCTCTATTTGAAAACGTTTCGTAGCCGTCAGTACCTAGGCGACAACGTTATAATCAGCTAGCTTAGTTAAAGTATTTTTTTTGTTTTTTTATATTTCGGATCTGCCATTATATGATTTGTGAAGAAAAACTTGTTTGAAAACAATTTCATTTCCATGTTATATTTATCATTTGGGTTTTTGGGGCTATGGTACTCAAAAAGAGTGTCTGAACAGTGACAAAAAAATATACACCTATATTTTGTTGTGCCTAGACTAATCTTTAATAATTGTTAAATGTTCAGACAATAAAACATTGTTATGTTTTAAGAATAATACTAGCCGATCTCAAACATAACACGTACGATGATAAGAAGAAAAAACACCATAAACTAGATATTACTGTAACTATTCAAAGAATGCGTTTTGCTTTCTGAATTCTTATTATGAGCTTGATTGAGTTATCATGAAAAGATTCAAAGAAGCAAAATTTTTATTTAAAGAAAATTTTACTAGAATAGAATCCACTCGGACCAGGCAGCAGACGGGACTCGAACCCGCCCCTCCGCTATCCGGGCGAATGCACTGACCATTATGCTACCGCGACCTTAATTGTCCGTGTTGAATTTTCTCTAGGATTTCTTAGGCTGCAAGGCAGCGCAATCGCTTAGATTTGTACCCACAATTTAAAATTAATACCTTTACAAGTATTAAACATTAAATACATCATTCAACTGTCTAACTATCACGGTTCATGAGATACAGTACAGCCTGGTGACAGATAGACAGACAGTGGAGTCTTAGTAATAGGGTCCAGTTTTTGAACGGACCCTTTGGGTACGGAGCCCTAAAAACCATGTATCGTTTTAGGAAAGATCATTGACAGCGATTCGGAATCGGCTCGATCTATTTGTCAGATTTACTTCGATGAATCTTACTATAATAGTCCAGTCGGAATAAACATGAGACCTATTCTAAGACACCAGCGCTTAGCCAATTTTATAGATAGTATAGACCCCCACGAATATGCCCTCCATTTGTCCCCGCTAGAACCCGTGTTTTGTAGCCAGGAAAATTGTTTAAACAAAAAAAAACGGTTTTTTTGAGTTTTTTTGCTTGTAAAAATTTTTTTGAATCAAAGTTGTTCATTAGCTTGCCCTCTACAAAATCAGTTCTATGAAAAAATAACGTGAGATTGTTAGTTTAGCAGTAAATTGCATTTATGTCAGTTTTACGTTTGCAACAATTCAACATGTTATAATAAACATTTTGATTTCTAAAGTAGTTTATCATGTGGGTAACGCCACTCCCAAGAGAGTCATGTAAAATTTATCGACCTGTGTCGCAAACTTTAGCAACAATTCTCAATCTCCGAAAAAAAAGTACTTGCCTGTCCCGTCTTTCCCAGAAGGCGCACAGCGGGGAAAAAAATTCAGGTGATTCGATTCACCAAGAATTTTGAGGAATCGATCGAGTAGAAAAAAATCGGTAATAAAAATGTTCGTTTTTGGTCGATTTAAATTTTTTTTAAAAATTGACGTAGAATAATTTTTTTTTGAAACTAATGTATTTTTCTCTCCTCAACTCGAATATACGATTGAAAATTTAAAAAATTCAGTTTATTTATGTACAGAAATTATTTACAAAACTATTAACTAAAATTCGATTACAAGACTGCGTTGTATTCTATATTTCTAATTAAATTAATTTCGTCCTTTTTTCTTCCGGTTCATAATCGGAATTCTCAGGGTATATTAGTATTATATATATATATTATATTTATATATATATATATATATTCAGAATAGTATATTCGAGTTGAGGAGAGAAAAATACATTAGTTTAAAAAAAAAAAAATTTACGTCAATTTTTAAAAAATTTTTAAATCGTCCAAAAACGAACATTTTTACTAACGATTTTTTTCTACTCGATCGATTCCTCAAAATTCTTGGTGAATAGAATCACCTGAATTTTTTTAATTTGGGAGTGGCGTTACCCACATGATAAACTACTTTAGAAATCAAAATGTTTATTATAACATGTTGAATTGTTGCAAACGTAAAACCGACATAATTGCAATTTACTGCTAAACTAACAATCTCACGTTATTTTTTCATAGAACTGATTTTGTAGAGGGCAAGCTAATGAACAACTTTGATTCAAAAAAAATTTCAAAATCCCCGTTTACAAGCAAAAAAACTCAAAAAAACCGGTTTTTCTTTGTTTAAACAATTTTCCTGGCTACAAAACACGGGTTCTAGCGGGGACAAATGGAGGGCATATTCGTGGGGGTCTATACTACCTAGGAAAAAATTGGCTAAGCGCTGGTGTCTTAGAATAGAAGTCGGTCCAAATTATGGCTATTCCGACTGGACTATAATATACTTATGAAGATCTAGTTTGTTTTGAATGTCTGAAAATTAGAATTAGAATTTCTGAAAATAGCACTGCACTTGCAATTTAATAATTTTATGAGCAGGCATCTAGTTTAACTCTAAATTTTATATGTTATTAATACTTTATACACATTGAGCAACGCGGCCGACGCGGCCAGGAGGGGAGTAGGCATTCACAGCGTTCCCCTCTGCCGATTTTCTCCCGCTTTTGGGCTTCATTTTATTTTGTTAAAAATCAATAGTTAGACTTGTTTGACAAAATAATCGACTCGCCAGCACACAG